GTCCCAGCTACTTGGGAGGCTGAAGCAAGAGAATCACCTAAGCCCAAGAGCTGGAGGTTGCTGTGAGCTGTAATGCCACGGCACTCTACCCAGGGGGATAGCTTGAGGCTCTGTCTCAAAAAAAAAAAAAAAAAAAAAAAACTTACTATGGGGAAGCACCTGTGACTCAAAGGAGTGAGGCCATATGCTGGAGGTGGTGGGTTCAAACCGAGCTCCAGCCCGCCAAAAAACTTGCCAGGGGGTGGACTATAAGAGGCACAGGGGAAGCCCAGAGGCCGTTAGAGGGTGTTTGCAGTAGTGTTCTGGGGGAGAGAGGGTGACAGTTTGGGCAAATGATGTGGCACAAAAGACAGAAGTAGAAAGACAGAAAATGCATTTTGGAAGCAAATCTGACTGGGTGTGTGATGGGCAGCCTGTGGGCATGAGGGGAAGGCGGGACTCCAGCATGGCTTCCGGGCACTGCTGAACCCTTTGGAAGATGGCATTAAACAAATAAGACCCAGCCAGAGTCTTACAGTAGGGATGGACAGTAATAGCACAGACAATTGGGGTCCCCGCTCTCAGGTCTGAGCCTGCCATGATCACTTGTGTAAAGGAATTAAAACAAATTTTAGGCAAATATGAGTGTTTTATAAGTTGATTGTTCTTTAGTTCCTTTCAGCAGGGAAATACCCCTTTAGAAAACTGTCACAGGGCTGTGCTGCAAAGTCTCAGCACTTAGGAGTGAGGTGGGCTCCTGAGGTCAGATGTCCAGCTCTGCAGCCAGTGGGCCCTCATGTGGGACCTAGAAAACATGTCCCTGAAGTTAATGGCGTTCTGTCTTCCAGATTTGGGTATTCGGATTCCTGTTGGACACGTGGACTACTATGTCAACGGAGGCCAGGACCAACCTGGCTGTCCCACGTTCATTTATTCAGGTCAGAAGTCAGAGAAAGTTGGGGTTTGGCTAGTCCGGAGGATGGAATTCGCCAACAGCCTTCACAATGAGTCAGCCAGTGTGGGCCACAGAGAGTCTTCCTGACAGTGTCCTTTGCTGCCTCCCATAATGCCTGACTCGGCACATGCTAAATGGATTAAGTAATCCATGTCTGACTAAGAATAGATCATTTAGTTTTCTTATAGTCTTCTTATGAATCTAGCCAATATATCGGCATTTTACATGAAAGTTCAGAATGCTGATATCTATTTATTAGTTTTTTGTGTTTCTTTGTTTTTGAGATGGGGTCTCACTCTGTTGCCAAGCTAGAATCTAACATCACTGAAGTCAGTAACCTCTATTTACCCCTGGGCGTGTGTGTGGCACAGTCCGTAGCAGCTGCATCGATGAAAGAGCCCAGTTGTGGCAGAATCAAGCCAATGTGCCCAAAGCTAGTAGCTGAAAGATCAAGTCACTGCAGGGCAATTTCACCAAATTTACTAAATTTAACAGTTCTCTGAAATGGTTTTCAAAAATGATCTTAAATTTTTTTTTTAATTTAGTTTTTCTTTTTTGTTAGAGGTGAGTTCTAGCTATGTTGTCCACACTGGCCTCATACACCTGAGTTTAAGTTCATTAATTTTTAAAAATGCAGCTCAGGGGATATCCTGTTTATTTATAGCTTCTATAAATATAAAATTCAATAGCATTTGCGTAAGTAGCACGGAGAGACTTCCTATTTACCTTGAGTGAAACCTTGGTTTTTTTTCTGTTCAGGTTACAGCTATCTGATTTGCGATCACATGAGGGCTGTGGATCTCTACATCAGTGCCCTGGAGAATTCCTGCCCCTTGATGGCCTTTCCCTGTGGCAGCTACAGGGCCTTCCTTGCCGGACAGTGTCTAGATTGCTTTAACCCTTTTCTGCTGTCCTGTCCAAGGATAGGTAAAATGTCACCCTTTTGACTTCCTTTGAAATTTGGGGAAAGTCCTGCCAATTGTCACGTCCTCATGTCCAGACCTCTTATGGTCCAGAAGTACATCTACCTGGGTAAAAGGAGATGAAATGAAGAGGTGTTCAGACTGTTCTCACTGGGGAGCAGGCATTGGCCCTTGTGTCTCCCCCTCATGAGCTCTAAAGCTCTCTGTGGCCACACTAGGTCTGCACACCCTGTCTCACATGAAGTATCTCACCTGTAAGTCCAGCCTCAGGACAATCTCTGGAGACATGGTACAGTCCAAGCTCCTGTTCCCACTCTCAGATCAGATGCTTTCTGTAGGTCTTTCTGGCTGGGCCAGCCATTCTCCACCTCTTCATAGACCCTAAGTCTGTGTGTGGCACACAGACCCACTTCAGAGGCATGAGCTGGTGGTGGCTGCATGCCAGTTGGAGGGATGTCCCTTTGTTGGGAGCCTTGGGCACCCCCTTGGAAGATCCAGGCAGTCTGAAGAAAGGACTCCAGGGAGGCTATGGGATCTGGCCTGTAACTAACCTGTACAGAGCTTTGCTGTAAATATCCTGGGGTTATCTAGGATTAGGAGCTTCAGGAAAAAATCCTGGGGAGCAGAAATGGTCCATCCCTGTCCCACACTTTTTCCCTTCCCCAAACTGCTGCAGCCTGTCCTTGCTTACATGAATGAAATAGACACCAGCTCAATAAAAGGTTAAAGTAAGGCGGCTCCCCACATTCAAACAAACCAACATTATTTCCTATTCATTGGCCATATGTCACGGTTTCCCCTAGATGTGAGATACAGCTGATCTTACAGCCACCTGGCCCCATCTGCCCAGCTTCACCTTTCAGTGCACTTCCCCTAGCACTAAACACCCAGGATGCTGCTTGTGGTCCCATATGTACCTCATGTTTTCTACCCTGCCCGCCTTTGTCCTAACCATACTCTGCCCAGGATGCCTTCTCCCCATTTGCCATCCACTAGACTTTAGGTCAGGCACTTCCCACTGCGCAGGACACAGTGCCATTAAAACACCTGTCATAGAGATTGGTTTTGCAAGTTAGAGACATACTTTCAGATTTCTTATAATTACTTACAAAGAACACACCTCCTGTTTACACGTGTGTTTATCACCAGACTGAGTTGCTGATATCCTGGGATTCGCCCCAGAGTACGACACAGAATGAGCATACAGTGTACATGTCTGTTGAAGAAATGTGGGGGGGGGGTCAAAAAGTATGTGCTGGGTACCGTGGGACCTTGGAATAGTCTCCTGAGGGCTCTGCTTCTTTATTTCCAGGGCTGATGGAAGAAAGTGGTGTCAAGATAGAGCCGCTACCCACGGAAGTGAAAGTCTACCTCATGACCACTTCCAGTGCTCCATACTGTGGTGAGTAGGCAGAAAATTCACATGCTCAGCTCTACCAACGTGCCGGCTGGAGGAGGCTGGGGCTCCGGCTTGGGCTGTGTCCAGCCTAGCATGGTGGCTGAGGTGCAGTGATGGACGGGGGTGCAGCTGTCATGGTGGGTGGGGCAGCAGCTCCTTGCAGAGTGAATCCGCACAGGTAATGACTTGGGGTATCTTACTGTCCATGTCCCGATCCTGGTTCCTCCCAGCCCCTGAAATTTGCCTTCTGGCAGTAGTTCTCCCCTGTGTGGGATTTAGGAGTACCCTCTGGCCTCCTCCTCCAGCACACTCCTGTCTTCACCCTGGGTGGCCATTCTTTGTGCCTCCCACCTTGACAGCCTACCTATGTCAGGGTCCCTGAGGGATCTCAAGCCTGGGGCTGTCCTTCCTTCCCCATCACAGACACAGTCCAGTTGCCCACTGTCATTCCTAAGCACTGCATTTCTTTGAACCTCAGATGCCAGTGATTCTAAACAAGGTGAAAGAAAAGTGTGGCTTAGAATCCATGAAATACATAACATGCCAAACCATCATCCTTCCCTGCACTGTGTGAATCTTAAGGAGGGCGACTACTGCCTGGTTTATGCTCTTCCTGGGGTCCTGTCTGCTTTATTATGTGTACAGGACAAAATTATGTTGGTTCACATGATAAATTATAAGGATACCCTACTTTTTGCTGATTTTCTGATCAGTTTGTGTCAAGTTAGTGGAAGAACCTTTGTGGCTATATCTTCCTGGCACTAGAAGGCTGTGTGCACTCTGATAAGGAGGCCGGAGCTTAGACTGAAGCTCACCAGGCCTGGATTTGAGTCTCAGCTTCTCCACTTATCAGCTGCATGATCAGGAACAACTAACTTAACCTCCCTCAACCTTTATGTCCTTATGCAGAAAATGGGAACAATAATAGTACCTACTTCAAAGCATCAATTGTGAGGATAAAATAAAATAGTATACGGGAAGTCACTAACACCAATACGGGAAGTCACTAGTACTGTGGCTGCTACCCAGTAAGTGATAATTCCTTCCCTCAGTCAGAGATTCATTGTTGCAATCACTGCAACTATGAATCCTTGCAGTGTTTCTGCCTTCCTGCCAGAGAGAATTCATGGCCATCTCTTAGGAACAAAGGAGGCCACAGAGTCAACTGTGGACTTTTTATGTGTACTGGCTCATTTGACCACCCACTGACAGATAGGTGTGAGGAAAGGGACAGTTTGAGAGACCAAGTGGCCTGCCCCAGGCCACACAGCTGGTGAAAAGGTCAGGACTCCAGTCTAGGTCTTCTGACTCCCAAATCTGAACTCCTTCCACACCCCCACCTACCTCCCACTGGCTGCTTTCTCCCTCTCTGGGAACCTGCTGTCTGCAGCCTGTTTCCTGGCTACTCTCTGCCCAGTGCCCCCTCTGAGTCAGTACGTGGGGGGTTGTCTCATCCGGAGAGGGAGGCAGTGCTGCCCAGACCAGGCCTCCTGGCTTCTAATTCCTGCTCTGCAGGTCAGGTCCACAGCAACCTGCGGGGCTCCTCCGTGTCTAAGAGTACACATGGCAGGAACGCCTGGGAATGCTCGGAGGTTAAAAGTGCTTTACGGTCCTGGCAAAGAGACATCCACAGAGCCATAATTTTCTAACTGCTTCATATTTGTTCTGAAACCAACTCCCTAGGCCCCCAGAATCACAGCCCTGTCCATTCAAAAACCAGAGGGTTGCCGAAACATGCCAAGGCGACATCCACTCGCCTGCATACTCTGGGCCATTTCCCCAGGTTCAGCTGGGGCCAAGAGCCAGCAGCTCCAGCTCCCAGCCACTCCCACGCTATCATGGTGCTGGACTCCCATGCCTAGCACTCTTGGGCTGCTTTGACCTCAACCATGTTCATGAGGACAGTGGTCACCCTGGACCTGTGCCAGGCATGCACCAGCATGGTCAGAGGATCTTCTACCAGATAACTTTTAAACAGTATTGTCCCCTGTAGAATAGTTTTCCACCTAGTTTCTTTTCTCCTTACCTTATTTAATCCTCACCATGTCCTATGAGATGGCATTAGAGGTTGCTGTCGGGTGAGGAAACTGAGACACAGAGAAGGTCATTGACTCAGGCAAGCTAGCACAGCTTGCAACCAGCAAGGCGGGCCTTGGATCCAGGCCTAGGACCAGCTGCCCTGGGTTCTATGTTCTTCCACATGAGCCAGGCTCCTGTGCAGCTCTGATTTCACTCCTACTTCCCACCTGCCTGACACTAGGCCTGGCTCTTCTGGAGTTTCCAGGGTAAGGGAGTCAAGAACCTTAGGAAACTTTCTTAATCAATAACATTTGCTAACAAAAGAAAATATGATGTATCAAACTCTGCCCGGAGAATTAAATTCCTGAAGCATCTGTGAGTTAGCCATTTTTCCACATTACACATATTTTCTTGTTTTTCTTTTCTTTTCTTTTCTTTTTGAGACAGAGTCTCACTCCCTATGTCACCCTCGGTAGAGTACTGTGGCATCACAGCTCACAGCAACCTCAAACTCTGGGGCTTAAGCAATTCTCTTGCCTCAGCTTCTCAAATAGCTGGGACTACAGGCACCTGCCACAACACCCTGCTATTTTTTGGTTGTTGTTGTCATTGTTTTCAGCAGGCCCAGGCTGGACTTGAATGTGCTAGCCCCAGTGTATGAAGCTGGCGCCCTACTCACTGAGCTACAGGTGCTGAGCTCAGATTGCAACTATTTTCTCTACTTCAGACCTTGCCCATGCCTATAACAACCCACATCCCTTAATAAACAACCCCGAGAGACAGAGGGGTGTGGCGTCTAATGTCTTCCTCTATGGAGAGGGGAGCATAGGTGTTCTTTCCTTTTTGTAAGTTCTTGGTTTCTTAGCACCTGGAGCCTGGCTAGGCCACGGCACTCTTCCAACTCACCACTGAATTGACCTACATCTATGTGATATCCCCCTGAAATTCACCCTTAACACACCGACTGCCATGTGAATTGTATTTAACTTATGCTATTTTTGAGCCCAGGGCCTCATGAAGCATATATGATTCACATATTTCTTCACCTATCTTGAGCTAATAAAACACTGTGGCCCCAAGGGAAAAAACATTTTTTTTCTGGCATGATGGTCAGTGTGTTAAAATATGACAAATGAAAAAAAAAAAAACAAACAGGTAGGCTCGGCGCCTGTGGCTCAAGCGGCTAAGGCGCCAGCCACATACACCTAAGGTGGCGGGTTCGAATACCCAGCCCGGGCCTGCCAAACAACAATGACGGCTGCAACTAAAAAATGGCCAGGCGTTGTGGCGGGCACCTGTAGTCCCAGCTACTTGGGAGGCTGAGGCAGGAGACTCGCTTGAGCCCAGGAGTTGGAGGTTGCTGTGAGCATGATGCCATGGCACTCTACCCAGGGGGATAGCTTGAGGCTCCGTTTCAAAAAAAAAAAAAAAAAAAACAGGTAGAAAGAAGTGAAGGATTGCATCTCTACTTATGTCCCTATCATCAAAGGAGCCTGGGAAATGTCCTGAGACCAAAATGACCACAAACTGCAACCAGGTATGCCCAGCCCTTGGGAAGAAAGGATAGACGGTAGGAAGCTGTAATCCTTCTTTACTTCTCTTGACGGCAGGTCCTGGGGGTATCAATGTGACTCAGGCTCTCACCTGATCCGTGTTGATACCCACTGTGACAACTCCAGCATCCAGGCTGCCAAACGGAGGGTCATGGATGCCACGGAGACAGCCAGCTGCCACAGAGAGGACAACAGTCTTCTCCTTCACATGCGGCTTAGCTCCCTGACACTGTGTGTATGGGGAAGGAAGAGGCGCATTGCTATATTTTATGAGTTAGTTATTTAGTATATGTCTTAGTCTGTGCTGTTGTAACAAAATACCTGAATCTGGGTCATTTATAAAGATCAAAAATTTATTTTCTCACAGTTATGGAGGCTGGGAAGTCCAAGATCAAGGTGCCAGCGTTTGGCGTCTGTGAGGGTTGATCTCTCTGCTTCCCAGATGGTAGCTTTTTGCTGTGTCCTCCAGAGGGGGCGGACACTGTCTCCTCACGTGGCAGAAAGTGGAAGGGCAAAAAAGGGCCTAGCTGGTTCCCTTGAGCCGCGTTTCAAGGCACTAATCCATTCACAAGTGCAGAGCCCACACGACTTAATCACTTCCCCAAAGGCCCCACCTCTTCGTGCCACTGCATTGGGCATTAAGTTTAAACATGAACTCTGGAACACAAACATTCAAACAATAGTAGCATATGACAGATCTTTCATGGCTCTTTCAAGATCATACCACTCTGACAATGTCACCAAATGGAGCCGTGGAACGCTAGAATGCATTACAAGTCATAATAAAAACACACTTACTGAATGTTTCCTACATGTAGAAATTGTCCTAAGGACTTCATATTCATTAACCTATTTAAATCTCATTCAGGCCTGTGGGGCACCTATTTTTATTATCCCCAATTTATACATGAGGAAACTTAGGACCTGGGCTGATAGGCAACCTGCTTCACGGCACACAGCTACTAAGAGGGAGAGCCCAGAGAAATTCTCAACATCCCGGCTGCTCTCTGGGGTGTTCTGCTCATCACACCTTCTGCCCTCTGGCCCAGTCTCTGCTGTGCTTTGGTTTCCTAGTGCATCACAGCCTCGTGGAGTTTTACTTGGAGAAGCCGAGACATAAGGAAACCAACATTGAGGTCACCTTCCTTAGCTGTAATGTCAGCTCCTCGGTCAAGATCACCATGTACGTACGTAAGTGTCCCACATGGCTGACCCCTCTCCTTAGGAGATAGTTACCTTTTCCTTTTACACATGTGCTAGTGGACATCCCTGGTCAGGCTCTGTGTGATTGCTGATGGGGGGACCCAGCTGACTAGGCTGGGGGCAGCATCTACTGTAGACCCTCCCACAGACACATGCTGGGGAACTATCCCAGATTTGGGAGCAGCACTGGGTATACTCAGATGACAGCAGATAAGGTGCAGGTAGCAGTAGTGGGGTGTCCTAATAGGTGGTTAGGATGTAGGAACTGGGGACCTGATAGGAAACAGTGCTCGGGAATCCAGACAGGGAGCAGATAGGGTATCAGTAGGGAGGAGGACCTCAGTCCCTTGCCCAGGAGCCTGGGGAGGGCCTACTCCTGGCAGGGAGAATCAGTACTAGGTTGGTTACCAGAACAGACTTGGAGGCAGTGATCAGTTAGCAAATGAGTGCAAGGTAAAGGGCCAGGGTAGCAGCCAGGAGGGCCTGACGCTGGGTGGTTCCAGTACCTGGAACTGGGGCTGATCATTTCCTTCCCTTGTTGGAGCAGATGTGGGCCTGGGAACTGCTGCTGGGCTGGTGGGACTAGGCTTGAAGTGAGAGAGCAAAGAACCTTAGCTGTAGGAAGCCACAGCCTGCAGGGGACAGGAAGTATAAGCAATAAATGAACATTTTTTTTTTTTAAATGGAGTCTTTCTCTGTTGCCCAGGCCGGAGTTTAGTAGTGCGTGTGATCATAGCTCATTGCAGCCTTGATCTCTTGGGCTCAATTGATTCTCCTGCCTCAGCCTCCCCAGTAGCTAGAACTGCAAGTACTCACCACTATGCCTGAATAATTTTTTAATTTTTTGTAAGATAAGGTCTTGCTATGTTGCTCAGGCTGGTTGTTTGTCTCAGCCTCCCAGAGTGCTGGGATTAGGAGTCATGTTTCTTTAAAATGCATTCGATTGGTTACTCACAAGCCAGCAGGAGACAGATTGATCAGATAATGTCAGTGTCTCAGTCAGGGTCCAATCAGGAAAACAGAGCCTATGCCTGGAGGTCCAAGGGAAGGAATTTAGCACAGTGAAGTGATTATAAGTGTCTTGGAAGAGCTGGAAAACCATAAGGAGATGAGCTGGGGAGGCAGTGCAGAGATTAGCAACAGCAGGAGCCACTACCATTCTGGGGCTAGAAGGCAAAGGCAAGGGTTGAGCTGCCAAAGCCCTGGAGCTCTCCCAGTGGGAGCCGGGTCCACAGGGGAGGCTGTTGGCAGGAGCTGAAACCACCAAAGGAGCTCAGACCCTCTGGCAGCCCTACCTAAAGCAGTCACCCATCTGTGTGTGCTCCTCTTCCGTGAGGGAGCCTGCGGCGGAATGGATTGAGTGCGACAGGGAAGTGACCAGTGCACGTGCACTTAAATGTACACTTATGAACAGGGACCAATGCTGTGTGAGCACGTAAGACAGAGCCTGACCGAGTCTGAGGGCCTGATGAGCAGAGAGGTGACGGATTTGCAGGGGCGCCCCAGGCCAGGGCTGAGTGGGGCTGTGGGTATGGTGTGAGAGGAGGCTGAGGAGGCAGGTCAGGGCCAGACTATGCCAGCCTCTGAAGGACATGTTAGGGATTTGGGTTTTTATCTGACAGCTGTTCAGGGAGCCATTGGGAGAATGACCAGATCAGATTTGGGTCTGAAAATATTCTCAGGCTGCAGTGTTGGCCATGAATCATGCTGTGAGGGAAGCTAAGTTTCTTCCCCTGAGAGGAAGGCACGTTTCAGCTCCCAAACGCCCTGCCACTAGCCAGCATCCCTCCTTGCACACCCAGCTCACAAAGCTAGGCACGGCTGGCAGTACTCCAGTGCAGACCTTCAGGTGCCCAGGGGGCCATGCTGAGTGTGGTGGGCATCAGTAAGCACAGTACTTTTCAGCAGATCAGCACAAAGTTGTGTGACTTCTAGAAGGATGTTTTCATCATCTCTGTAGCCCATTGGTACATCAACACTGGTGGGTATCATGAAAATGACACACAACCCTGGAGAGCTCTAAAAAGTACAGCAATCACATCAGGATTTCTGGGCATAGGCTCCATGGCTATATTTTAAAAGCTCCTCAAGTAATTCAGATGGACATCTGCAGATTTGTGCTTCCCCTTCCCAAAAGAGATTTACATAAGCCTTTTGAAGATAGCCAACAGAACGTGATTAACTTCTATCTTCAACTCCTTGGTTTTTTAAATTTTTTTTTCTTTTTTTTGAGACAGAGTTCATTGTGTCACCCTCAGTGGAGTGCTATGGCATCACAGCTCACAGCAACCTCAAACTCTTGGGATCAAGCGATTCTCTTGCCTCAGCCACCCAAGTAGCTGGGACTGCAGATGTCTACCACAACACCCTACTATTTTTAGAGATGGGGTCTTGCTCTTGCTTAGGCTGGTCTCGAACCTGTGAGCCCAAGCAATCCACCCACCTCGGTCTCCCAGAGTGCTAGGATTACAACATGAACCACTGCACCCAGCCAACTCCTTGGTTTTTGATCTGGCAGATGGGAAATTGGTGGGGAGGGGAGGTGGAGGAGAAATATGGAGAAGGTTACGTGTGGTTTTCCCCCTACTTTCTGTAGCTTTGGGCAACCCCAAGATTTCCTTCTAATTGAAGAATTTTCCTGGACCAATTCCCCGAACTACTCACTTAAAGCATCTTTTATATTCCCTGTATTTTACAAGCTCCTCAATTCAAATAGTTTCTTAAATAGAATGATCTTATTTCTCTCTCTCTCTCTCTTTTTTTTGAAACAGCATCTTATTCTATTGCCTGCTGCCCCCGGGCCAGAGTAATATGGCATTAGCCTAGCTTGTAGCAACCTCAAATTCCTGGGTTCAAATGATGTTCCTGCCTCAGCCTCCTCAATAGCTGGGACTACAGGCACATGCCACCATGCCCAGCTAATCTTTCTATTTTTTTTTTAGAGATGGGGTCTCATTATGTTGCTTAGGCTCCAACTCCTGACTTCACGTGATCCTTCCACCCCAGCCTCCAAAATGCTAGGATTACAGGCCTGAGCCACTGTGACTGGCCCCTCCAAAATATTTCAAAACACCTCTGGGGGAAAAAGGGAAGAGCTTTTAAACAAAGCTATATGTGTAGCTTCTAGGAAAATAAAAGGAAATAAACTATATGACTAACCACGGACTAAAAGGAACATAAAGAAGATATGTCATCCCTGTGTGAAGCAAGAAAGGAAAGGGAGGCTCAGCTATCCAGAGGGGAAAGCAGTGCCCTCCTACTCTCCCCCTTTCTCAGAGTCCCTGCAGCCTCAGAGCCCAGAGAGGGAAGGGAGGGAGCAGAAGCCTGGAGCAGACCCGGAAGGCAAGTTCCCTCTCTAGCTGTGCAGTGCAGCCAGCTGGGCTCCTTCCCTCTCCCCATGTAACTCCCTCAGGGCTCTGCCCAGTGGACTCCACGCTGGAATCTCACCCTTCCTGCCTTTGTCTAGAGACCCTCAGCCCTTGTTGGAGTGCCCCCCTAGGTCACTCACTTCATATTCCTCCCTCATCTTCAGCTCAGGCCAAAGTGGTGCCTGAATCTTGTAAACTGATAGGGAATCAGAGGGGAAAATCCAGAGTGTGGTTAAGAGCGATCTGGATTCCCTTTTCACTTTGAGCCCCTAGGCCAAACCCTGTGGTTCAAGCTCATAGTGTGTGGGGAAGCTGGGATCCATACCTGGCTCTGTGTGACTCCACATCCACCTTACCAGGTTCGTAACTCACCCAAAGCCACATTGCTGGGAAGAGACAAAACCTGGGTTCCACTTCTGTCTGGCTTCAAGACCTATTTTGTTATTGTTTTTGGTTCCACCTGCACGTCCATACTTAGCCTTGCACAAAATTCTTCCAAATGCGATGTCCTGAAAGAGGGCTCTACTTCCAGGCAACCGGATCTCAAACTGAAGATTTCCAGCTAGGAATGCAAGAATGAGGGACATTTTTCCAGATGTGAAAAGTCAAGAGCCCCTATTTTGCTGTAGTGTCTACTTATCTACTCTTGAAAATCAACAACTATTTTTCTGGGTCATACATGTATTCAAAGCTGTAGGTGTGTAGGCAAAGGGGCTAGTGCAGGTGATCAAAGGCCATGGTCAGGAGCTAACACTTCTGTGGGTGATGGCCAGCCAGTGCTTCAGCAGAGACCTGGGAGGAGCACAGATGAAGGAGCCACCCTCATTAAGTTCCCTTTCTTTTTCCCTGTCCCTTTCCCTTTTCCCTGCAGACCTAAGCAGCGACTCCAGGGGAAAGCAATCATAGCCCACTCCAACCCTCAGCGCCAGATAAACCAGGTGACACTCAAGTTTCAGCCTTCTGGACAGCTTTGGAGAAGAGACCGGACTATCATTGCCGGAAGGTTCTGCACTGCCCCTTTGCCCATCAATGACAAGTAAGCCCCAGTGTCCACCCCTGCTCCAGACACACACACACTGAGGACCAATCCTGACTCAGAAGTGATGCTTGTGGAGGTTTGCTCTCATCAACAGCGACTACCATCTTAGAAATAGAGGTGATAAGGAGCGGCGCCTGTGGCTCAGTGAGTAGGGCGCTGGCCCTGTATACCGAGGGTGGCAGGTTCAAGCCCAGCTCTGGCCAAACTGTAACAAAAAAATAGCCTGGCATTGTGATGGGCACCTGTGGTCCCAGCTACACTGGAGGCTGAGGCAAGACAATTGCCTAAGCCCAAGAGCTGGAGGTGGCTGTGAGCTGTGACACCGCAGAACTATACCAAGGGCGACAAAGTAAGACTCTGTCTCTAAAATAAAAATTTTAAAAAAAAAAAAAAGAAAGAGATGATAAGGACCCAGGGTTTTTCTGAACCTCCTCCATCTGGGGTTGAGGATGTTAGGTTAGGATGGAAGCCAAAGGCCGCGGGTAAATCAATGGAAGAAACCTCAGTGTAAGAAACTCCACTGTATCTGTTTTCTATATTTGATTTCTCTGTAAGGTTTCATTGGAACAAAGGTTTCTCAAGCATATTTCCTCATCCTAGCTTCCACTTCAAATGTGTCACTGGTCTATTCATGGGCGTGGATCTGAATCCACATCCCCTTTTCCCTGCCTCTGGCAGCATTTCTGTTATTAGTCTAACCACCCCTGAGCCCTTGAACTGTGGGAACTGGTGCCCCAGATGACAATAGGAATCTTTCTACAGACGTCACCGGAACTCAAAAACCACAGAATTTCTAGCCCTCGATCCTCAACCAAGAGGCTGCCCTCTTCTTGCTCTTCTCTTTCAGTGAAAATATGGTCTGCTTACCTGAGCCAGTGAACTTACAAGCAAGCGTGACTTTTGTTCATGACCTGAAAATAGCCGGTGTATAACGTAAGTCTGGGTAGGACACATCTCCCTGGACTTTCTTGAGGGTGGTGTGGTGAGGATGTGTGTGTGCACAACTTACTCCACCATGACCACTAAGGAGGAAGGGGATGGTCTTGTTATGTTTCCCATAATTAGCTACCTTGGAGGGAGAGATGACTCATTTGACAGAACTTGGTTCGTAGATACCATTTTAGCTTTCCTATTCATTCTTAACTGCAATTGCCTCATACCTCAGGATTCTATAGAAACCTATACAGAGAAAAAAAAAGAACTTCCTGGAATACCTGAATCATTTAATTGTTTTATTGTAATGGAATTCTGCTATATAAAAAAAAGTGATTTATAATTTGTAGGATTGGAGAAAACAGTAGGTATTGAATTCTCTGTTTAAAATAACACCTGAAAAGAAGTTCTTTGAAAAAGAGCAGGGCGGACGGGTGCAGAGGAGGATGGTACTATTCATCAACTCCTACCATTGCCCCCCTCTGGATGGCTGGAAGGTCCGAGGGAATCAGACAGATCTCTGAGGAATACACGTAGATTTTCTTGAGCTTAGCACTCTCAAAAGTTGATCTTTGGGCGCCACCTGTGGCTCAGTGAGTAGCACACCGGCCCCATAGACTGAGGGTGTGGGGTACGAACCTGGCCCTGGCCAAACTGCAACAAAAAAACAGCTGGGCATAGTGGTGGGCGCAAAAAAAAACAGCTGGGCATAGTGGTGGGCGCCTGTAGTCCCAGCTACTCGGGAGGGTGAGACAAGAGAATTGTCTAAGCCCAAGAGCTGGAGGTTGCTGTGAGCTGTGATGCCACAGCACTCTAGAAAGTTGATCTTTATCAATAACCCATATTAGCTACAGTTTGACAAAAAACAGATATTGGGGCTGGGCACAGTGGCTAATGCCTATAATCCTAGTACTCTGAGAGGCCAAGGTAGGTAGATTGCATGAGCTCAGGAGTTTGAGTCCAGCCCGAGCAAGACCGAGACCCCACCTCTACTAAAACTAGAAAAAACTGAGGCAAGAGGATCATTTGACAGGTTGAGACTGTCTCAAACAAACAAACAAACAAACAAACAAAACAAAAAACAGATGGTGCTTTGGAATTGGGTAATTTTAGGAGATTGAATAAAAAAGGACTGATATGGTTTGGATGTTTGTCCCTTCCTCAGTCTCATGTTAAAATTTGGTCCCCCATGTTTCCGTGGTGGTGGAGGTGAGGTCTGGTGGGAGGTGTTTGGATCAAGGGGGCAGATCCTTCACCAATGGCCTGGTACCCTCCCTGAGGTAATGAGTAAGTTCTCTTTCCTTAGTTCAGAGAGAGCTGGCTGTTTAAAAGAGCCCAGGCCTCCTCCTCCCTCTCTTGCTCTTGCTCTCCCTACACGCCTCCAACTGCCCCTCCACTGTCCTTGACTGGAAGCTCCCTGCCTCCTCACCAGAAGCAGATGCTGGTGCCAAGGTTCTTGTGCAGCCTGCAGAACAATGAGCCAAATAAACCTCTTTTTTAAATAAATGACCCTGCCTCAGGCATTCCTGTATGGCAGTGGAGAAGAAGCTACTTCAGGACTATTTACAATAGTCTTTTGTGGGGAAACACAAGGACAGTGCCTCTCCCTGAGGCCAGCACCAGTGGAGGCTGCTACTACCCCAGGCTGAAAGAGGCACGGCTGAGTGGGCAGCACCAAAAACTAAGACAGAGGGGGCTTTGGGCCCCAGCAGCAACCCTGCTGGGAGGGCCCCACAAACACAAAGTCTTCTTCCTCCCTAATTCTCCAGCTAGCAAAGCCCATCCAGTGACTGAGAACAGAAGCCAGTGGGCAAGAAGCACATTGTCATGGCCCAAACAGGTCCAGGCACAGGGCGAGACGGAAGTGGATGGAGAACGAAGGGGATGAGGCTGGGGAGCGAACACAGCTTCACTTTCCCTACATTCGGGTTCCCCTTGCGTTCTTCTATTCTTTAAATTTACTTAAAAAAAAAAAAAACCTTAAATAAATATGCTTTAAAACAGAAACCGCTGACTTGTTGATTCATTCTCCACAATAAGACAGGAAGAATGATGTAAGCTACAGGCTGCAATTACCCCATCTGGGCCAAATAATCTGGATGACCAGGAGACAGAGCTTCAGCCTTTACCCAGACTGTGAAAATGCAACCAAAAGGGCAGGGGATACAGTGTAAATATTCACAACGATGCTTAATCTTCTGCACTATTATTAGGCCTAGTGGGCCTAGGCTAAGACAGAAAGGTGTCAGGCCTAGGCTATGATGGAAAAATACCAGTTAACTACTGGCAAATTTCCAGACTGCAAACTTTCAAAAAAAAAAAAAATGAAATAAGTTTAGTTCGCTCCCAAGATAGATGGGAACATACTATTTAATTTCTTGCTTCTAGTTCACTCCAAGTTTTTTGCTTGGCTAACTTCCTGGGAACCAGACCAGGAGGTACCAACTGTTCCTGGACTAACTTTTAAACAATACCAGGTAGGGAAAATACTGAAACTAAGATGTATGGGGGGAAATATTAAAACAAAGATGTATGACACATAACTAACTAACCACAAAATTCTGTTTCTGTATAATGCTTGCTTGCTTACCCAGATGCACCTGGAAGCCTGCATGCCAAACAGGATGCAGACCAAGCGTTAAAAACCCGATCCCTGGCTTGGTGCCTGTGGCTCAAGTGGCTAAGGCGCCAACCACATATACCTAAGGTGGTGGGTTCAAATCCAGCCTGGCCCGCCAAACAACAAAAATGGCTGCAACCAAAAAATAGCTGGGCGTTGTGGCGGGCGCCTGTGGTCCCAGCTCCTTGGGAGGCTGAGGCAGGAGACTCACTTGAGCCCAGGAGTTGGAGGTTGCTGTGAGCTATGATGCCATAGTACTCTAACCAGGGGGATAGCTTGAGGCTCTATCTCAAAAAAAAAAAAAAAAACACCAAAAAACCGATCCCTTAAACACTCAGGGCTGCTCTCAGAAACCCCATGTTGGGATACTGAGGCAGTCGCCGGCTGGCCATTCAATAAAAGGACTCCTCTTTAAATTTAACTTGTTTGGCAGTGTGGGCACAACGCTATCATAGTCATGTCTGAAGATTGCACATGTTCCCCAATACGTAGGCTTTACTCTACCCGGGTTCCCTGTGAAACCCCCCTGGAGACAGTCTCTCCCTGAGCTATATGAAGCTGCGCTGTATTTTCCATCCTGAGAGACGCCAAGTGCACACACTTCTTCCTCGGTTTTCCCTGCAACTTAGTGCCTTTCTTCCAAGTGTGTATAAATCATGCTACGCTTCTGTGATCAAAATCCTCATTTGTGTGATGCTGATGCTAATTGGTATTGAACTGACCTGACCGGGTTTCCACTGTCCTCATATTTTCCATTTCGGTTTTGACCTCAGCCCTGCATTGCTTTGCTAATATCTTCTTACTTATTTTAAAGCACCTTTCCTTAGACTCTCTCACGTGTTATTTTGCTCTCCATCAGAATAGACGATTACCTTAACTGGAAAACCAGTTTCTGTATATAGAAATTAATCCTAGAAATAAATACAATGAGAATATAACAATGTTTAAAATTCCAACCAGATACCATGGCTTGCTGAAGGCTCTAGGTCCCCGACCTGTCCTTTGCTTATTGAAAATTAATTAGCAAGTACGTTAGAGATGTTAAAAACCTATACACTGAACAGAGATTTTCTTCTGTATGTAACTAGTGGATTGAAAGAATATAAAACATGCACAGGGTGGCGCCTGTAGCTCAAAGGAGTAAGGTGCCAACCCCATATGCCGGAGGTGGTGGGGTCAAACCCAGCCCCAGCCAAAGAAAAACTGCAAAAAAATAAAAATTAAAAAATAATAATAAGTAAAACATGCGTAACTCTCTCACCAGGAGATTTCTTCCTTCTTTTTTTTTTTTTTTTGAGACAGAGTCAGCATCAGCCTAGTTCACAACAACCTCAAATTCCTGGTTCAAGTGCTCCTCCTGCCTCAGCCTACCGAGCAGCTGGGATGATAGGCTTGTACTATCACGCCTGGCTAATTTTTTTCTATTTTTAGTAGAGATGAGGTGTCTCACTCTTGCTCAGGCTGGTCTTGAATTCCTGAGCTCAGGCAATCTACCCACTTTGGCTTCCCAGAGTGCTTGGATTACAGGTGTGAGCCACTGTGCCCAACTGATTTAATGTCGTTTGATGCTGGGTATATATGATACCTAAAATCATCTTTTCTAGAGGTACATAGCCAATACTTTGGGAAACCTGGCTTTAAGTAGTTGGGATGCCTGTGTGCTTAGGGAAAAGGAAGAACTAGCAAGAAGCTCTGTTGATGGCCGGGCAGAGGCAGAGCTTGGATCCCCTTGCCCAACCACACTGCTCACAGCACTCTACTGCAGTCTTCGTGAACAGAGACTACTGCAGAACTAATTCAGTTCAACAGTGAGATTCACCACCAAGTGCAAGATACACTGCTGAAAGATACAGAGCAATCTGACCTTAAAATAGCCACATGACAAAAACAGCTAACTTTGCAAAGCTTTTTACTATGTTCCAGGTACTGTTCTGAGTGGTTTCATAGCTGTTAACAAATTTTATTTTCTCAGGAAGCCTGGGAAATGCTAGTTCACAGGTAAAGAAATTGAGGGGTTGAGGAACTTTCAAGATCACAAGGCTAGAAAGTCAAGGAGCCGGGATTCAAATATCAGCTGTCTGGCTTTAGAGCCAGGTGATTAATCACTTCTCTAATGAGGCTCAGAAATGCATCAGGAAAGCCCCTTGCAAAAGTTCAAAATGCAATTCTGCAGGACTATCTATGTAGCTTGCAGTGCCCAATGCAACATAAAAATATGGACTCTTTATTTAAAAAAATTAAGAATTTCAAGATGGTGACAGCAGAGGATGAAGCCAAATGCAGGGCCTTTCCAAGTGTGGAGCCCTGTGTGACTCTACGGGACACCAGCCCAGCAACCAGGTCAGCCACACACTGTTAATCCCCAGAGGACCTGGACATGCCAGCCAGCTCCACAGTATCACTGCAAACCCTGAGGAAGCTTCCATTGGCTAAGGAAAAGGGTTGTAAGGATGAGAAAAATGTTATAGGGCTTTTGAGAGGGGTGAAAGTGTTTCCTGCAGAAAATATGCAGACCACAGGGGCCTTTATGGTCTCAAATGTCACTAAATTTTAAAGCAAATGATTAATATTCTTCAGCCATTTCCACACCAGAGGCTGGTGGAAGCTTGGCCCCTACAGGTCCTGTGGCAGGTAGGGGGGAACTCATCTCCGGAATGATTTGGGGAATACTGGCTGTCTTCACAAGATGCTGGGGGAGACTGGAATTGGGAAGAGTTGATGAGGGGGGAAATGACTTCCTGCTCTCTTCTGATCCACACTTTGAGAACAGACCCAGGACAGACTTTCCACTCCTGTGTCCTACAGCTCCTAGTTTGCCCAGGGACTGCAGAATGATTAACAGCAAACTCATTTTGGAAGAGCAGGGCTGGCTGCTTCAATGGCGGGGTGCAGAGGATGGGAGTAGGATGGCAGGGGAGAGGAGAGAGGAGCTGTGAGCATGGATGGAAAAAACTGCAGAGAGGCAGGGTTTTTTTGTTTTTGTTTGAGACAGAGTCTCACTATGTCACGTTCGGTAGAGTGCCATGGCATCACAGCTCACAGCAACCTCAAACTCTTGGGTTTAAGCAATTCTCTTGCCTCAACCTCCCAAGTAGCTGGGACTACAGGTGCCTGCCATGCCTGGCTATTTTTAGTTTGTAGTTGGCTCGGCTGGATTCGAATCTGCCAGCTTCAGTTTATGTGGCTGGTGCCCTAGCCGCTGAGCTATAGGGACCGAGCCAGAGAAGCAGTTGTTGGGCACACATATCCAGCTCTTCATAAAGTCCTATGGGGACTCCATGAGCTCATGATAGCTTCCTTTGCCAATGGATCACACATTGTGCCTTGACTACAGATTTCCCCATGAAAATTCAAGCCTTGGCCAGAAGGGTCTTTGTTCTGTCTGGCATACAGTACTCTCAAATATTTGTTAAAAAATGAATCAATAGGCTCAGCGCTTGTGGCTCAAGTGGCTAAGGCGCCAGCCACATCCACCTGAGCTGGCAGGTTCGAATCCAGTCCGGGCCTGCCAAACAACAATGATGGCTGCAATAGTAGCAGGCACCTACAGTCCCAGCTACTTGGGAGGTGGAGGCAGGAGACTTGCTTGAGCCCAAGAATTGGAGGTTGCTATGAGCCACGATGCCACAGCACTCTACCCAGGGGGACAGCTTGAGGCTCTGTTTCAAAAAAAATGAATCAATAGATAGTCCCAGGAAGGATTTTCTCTTCTCAGTCTTGATTTACTGATAGAACTCACCAGTGAAGATGTCCAGGACTGGCTTTTCTTTGTGGGTAGTTTTTCCCTGATTCAATCTCTTCACTTGTTACAGCTCTACTCAGATTTCTTTTTCTCTTGAGTCAGCTTCAGGAGTTTGTGGCTTTTTAGGAATTTCTTCATTTTATCTAAGTTATAGTATCTAATTTATTAGCATGTAATTCTTGATGGTATTCACTTATAATCCTTTTTATTCTTTTTTTTTT